TGGGTGCTCCAGAGGAGGGGGTTGTCCTGCCCACATCTTCCAGGTCATACAGCCTTTTTGTAGAGCAGGGAGGGGGTTCTTCAGCTGTTCCTCCTCCCTTCGTCCCAGACTCCAGAGGCACAGGGGTCAGAATCATGGACATTCATTGGGTGATGACACTTCTCTCCCAGGCCTTAGTTCCCAGGATGCTTACAAGCTCATGAAATCCGAAACCCATAAGAACAGCAGCACGATGTGATTCACAAGGTGATGCAGCTGGTGTCATGCTAACTCTAGACTCCTTTTGTATCTTGAAGCTACTACTACTTTGCACTTATTACCAGGTATTGTAACTATCAAAGCTGTCTGCCCCGAGGGCTGGGATGATGGTTTAGCAATGTTTGCATTTTCTTTGCCCTGGACAGTGCCTGGTACATGTCCAATAAATGCCAATTGGATCAACACACTCAAATGTAGGAGAACGTTGAATCACGAGTGTTCTTTGGGCACTTGAAGCAGAAGAAGGTGAAGGAGGTTGCATACGTGGATGCAGGTAGCAAACATTTCAGAAGAAATTAGTTCTTCTCCAAAGGCCGATGGTGCCGATGTCTGGAAGGCTCCGGCTGTTGGGAGGAGGGTGGGGAGGTGAAGATTTTTTTCTTTTTCAATCACTAAAAATTCCTTGACTAACTATATATAACCTCTGCGCTTGGCACTGGGGAATCAAAGATAAATGACAAGACCTATTTTCCCAAGGACTTCATATTGATAAAGAGTTGTTCCTCAGAATGACAAGAGCTATAATAAATTATATATATATATATAATAGTGGTGTGGATAGCTAGATGGATGGAAAGATAGTACAGTAGGGACAAAAGGAGGGTTAATCCGCCCTCATCAATCCCCTGCTTAACCTGCCCAGGAGTAGCCACTGCACTTGAAATAGAATCCACACCCTTTTCCACGATGCATCAGATCCTGCCCGACTCAGTCCTTCCCATGTCTCCATCCTCATCTCCCACCACGCTGTCCCTTACTCACTCCACACTTGCCCACGAACATTATTTCTGTCCTTGAACACAGCAAGTCCTTTCTCACCTCAAGGCCCTTGCCCTTTACAAGGCTGCCTCTGTCTTGGTTGGCCATTCAGACCTCAGCTCAAATATCACCTCCTCTGGCCAATATCTCTATAATGCCCTCTCCTCAGTCACGGTCTATGCCACTACCCTGTTGTATCTTCTTCATAGAATGTTTCACTATGAAGTTATCTTGTTTGCTTTTTTACATAATTATTGTCTGCTGCCCCCTCTGTTCCCTCCGCCCCTCCCCCATGCTCTGCCCAGTGCCTAGAACGTAGCTGGAGGCTGGCACGTTGCAGACATTCATCAAGTGTGACTTTGCTCTGGAGAAGACAAGAAAGACTCGCCAAAGGAAAGCTATAGGTAACAATATCCCAAGAATAGGGAAGGCAGTTAGGGCCAGTGCCAGGACTTGGGCTGTTAGAGCACAGAGGGCAGCAGGAAGTGTGCAGATGAGGCCTGAAGAGGGCAGCAGCCCTTGTTGTCAGGAATGGGACTCGAGAGCCCAGACCTAGTGCTGGAGAGCAGGAGTCAAACGCCAGTGCCATCCCTTACCAGGTGTGCGACCTGCAGCAATTACCTAACCTCTCTGTGCAAAAGAGCCAGTGATGACAGTACTCTCTTCCCAGGCTAGTATTGTGTGGAAAAGGAGCATAGTCAGCTAAGCATTTGTTCTATGCACTAGAGGGGAATCACTTGAGCTTGAGGAGCAGGGTTATGGGATTCAGGTTTGTATTTTAGAAAGATCATAGGCTGCTAGTGGAGAGGATGGACCGGAGGGGTCTGAGAAATCAGAGTCAAGGAAACTGTGTAGGCAAGACAGACCAAGACAAGGTCATGGTGGTGAGGGTGAGCCAAGAGTGATTAGGGCCGTGGACTTGGTCCTCCTCGGTCTCCATTGGAGAAGGAGGTGAGGGAAAGAGATGATCCAGTGGGAGGCTGGTGGTGCCATTGGCCTGTACAAGAAGTACAGCTGTGGCCAGTTGAGCTGCAATGCTGTGGGACCTGCAGGTGCAGCTGCCCAGCGAGAAAACCCCTACATCTTCCTGGCTCACAACACGACACTAACATGCTTCACACTGTACCTACACATACTCAATAAGTGTTAGTGTTTATAATTTTTGCTTTTGAAGCAAAATACCATGAGAAACAGTTTTTTTCAGATCTGAATTTTTCCCTTTACACTTCTATAAATAGAATTACTGGGGCAAAAGTTATGTTACCTTTCAAAGACTAATTCATCTTGCCAAATTGCTTTTCAGAGAGGTTGTACCAATATATATTCTCACAATAACCTGGGATTTTTTAAAAACATCCTCAACATTTTTTATCAACCCCAAAGTTGCTAGGGCATGGAGAATAGTCCTCTCGTGTGCAAGTGATAGACCTGACCACCAACGGCAGCCCCTTCCTTAAAAGTTGCCAGTTGCCTTTGTCCTACGGAAATCCCTTAAATCGATGTCTGCTATTCAATAACACATTGCAATACCACAACCTAAACTGCATTCTTGAAACCATGATGATGAGTGAAATACAAACACTGTATGCATAAATACTCGCCTGAGGTTTAGACGGGGGGGTATGAGGAGAAAGTACTTAACTGAAAGCTCCACTGTACCAAAACTACATTATTTCAACAGTATCTTCCCCCAAAGAACTTTCTTTACCATGCTTTAGTGTATGTACATGCATGGAGATTCTATTTACTTTGAATCAATAAGTGATTTATGACAGGGCACAATCTACTGGCCAGATACTATTTTAACGCAGAATAAACTAAAATTTCTTTTTAATACATATGTCAATATATTCTCATCAAATTAAAGCCATTTTCACTGAAGATGGTGTTTTGGTCAGTTCCGCAGATGGTTGTCATGAATTGTTGACCATTTAGCTGCTTTGTTTGGTTTTTGTTGTTGTGCTTCTAGCTCTCCCCACACACAATTGAGACACCTCAGAGTAACAATGTCCAGGGAAGTGTATCATCTGTTTGCTGTCTCTCTCTGTGAATGCTTGATTTGCGTTCATTAACACCGATTTGGTGTTCATTAACACCAGTGTATCTTTGTGCAAGTTTTTATCTGTCATCTTTTCTAGAGATTCCTTACAAAAGAAACTTGGGTCCACTGTTCTTGCCCATGTGCTTTACAGAACTGAATATCTGTTTTGTATTTTCCGCAATCCACTGTTGGCCCTTGGCTCCAACACGTGCTTCTTCTGTTCTGAGCATTAACCATCCATCAAGGTCTGAAGGGATATGGGTACTTGCTTTCAGAAAACTTTCTTATACGTAGTCCAGACACAGTTCTCAGGGGTTAATGAGAGGAGGCCACAATTTTTCAAAAGAGGCTAGGTCTAATTTGTATGAAGTGGGACTGTCGTCAAGTAGGGAAGCAATAATGATTATTCATCTCCAGTAAACTATGACTGTTTTCTTCTAGTCGGTGCCAATCAGGGGTGCATCTATCAAAGAACGGGGGAAACATACTTCTGCTTGAAGGTGGACTTGGTAACTACAGTATGGCCTTCTGGACAGACCACTGGGACTGTCATAAATGCTTGAAGGAAATGCTGTGGTTGTGATGGGGAGCTGAATAGAATATAATGCATCTCAATATTAGAGTCACTCAGATGTCCCTGGTCCCCCTGGAGCTGTCTGCTAGTACATTTAAGAGTTCACTTCCCATCCATTTTGTCCATCTGTAGGAAGGGCTCTCCAAAAGAACACAATGAGAAAAGCTTACACATATACAGTACCCGTTTACTGCAGATGTGTTGAAAAAGAACAGGGATCGTGCCTGTTTTTTTGTTCTTTACATTTTGTCTGTTTCTATACACTGTGTTCAGATTATGCTATAAAGCTATTTTCTGATAAGAATTGAGAGATTGAAATCAAACCTATCTCCCTAGCTACACCTTTCTCTGGAAATAGGTAAAGAGACTTACCCATATTTTAAAATAATTAGCCATGTTATCCAGTTCCAGCTATAATGGTAATTCATAGAATTTTAGATCCAGGGCATATGGGGGAAGAATTAGAAACCAGCTATCAGTGTTTCTTTAAGTGTATTTATCAGAACACTGCCCTCTAGGGGAAAACCGTTTCCTGGTCAGACAAGTTAGGGAAACACTGTATCCTGTATCTTCCTCGCCTCCAAAATTCACAATGAAAAATCAACTGTAACTCAGCATTGCCCAAACGTATTTAGCTAGGGAGTCGTTTTACCCTGTATAGTAGCTGTTAACATCCTCCATGTAGGAAATGAGTCCGGTCTCATCGTCGAGGTGCAGGAAATCAAGTCACTCGCCAGGGTAACAGAGCCAGTAATGACAGAGCCAGGGCGAAAACCCATTGATGGTTGACAGTCTCCCTCAGAATGGCTGCACACGTGTACCGACAGCAATGGCTTCAAAAAGATTAAGATATTTTTTCCTTGAAATTTATTTAAAGAATTGTTCAAAAGTATCTAGGATCCTAATTTAAATTAGAGAGATTTATCCGTTAGCAGATGGAAAATGTGTCAATTGGCCCATTCAATTTAGTCGTACTCTTTAGTCATACGCATCAGAAATGGCACGTGAATGGCATGCGCGGTGGAGAACAAATCGCTCACAAGGCACTCAGTCTGAGGGGTGGGGAAGGGGTAACGCCAGTAAGCAATTGAACAAGTAGATTTGTAATTACGAATTATGATGCGTGCTATGAAGAAAACGAACTACGTGTTATCAGATTGAGCTTAAATTTGCAATCATTGTTTAATTGACCCAGAATCAGAAGGGATCGGTAGCAGCTGTTCCTACAGGTATCTTAGCACTCGGCTCAGAACTGCAGTTTGAGCTACATAACAGCCTTTCCCCCTCTTGTCTTTCCAGCCCAGTGGCGCAAAATGAGAGCGCAGTGAGCCGGCCCAGCCTCTCCCCCAGCGGTCCCCGACGCCCACCATGAACCACTTGGAGGGGTCCGCGGAGGTGGAGGTGACCGACGAGGCAGCAGGCGGGGAGGTGAACGAGTCGGTGGAGGCCGACCTGGAGCACCCCGAGGTGGAGCAGGAGCAGCAGCGGCAGCCACAGCAGCAGCAGCAGCATGTGGGCCCCCC